CTTCATATGTGGTCATCATATCTTGCAATGCACTAATTACTCATTGTATCTTATTGTATCTGGCCAGGTGTAAAAACTGTAGGCTATATCGATGGTGTGTGAGGGCAGTGATAGAGTGGGTGTGCACGTGGCCGGCGCCTGATCACCACGACCAATACATGTGAACACCGACATAAACAAACAGATAGTATTTATAGCAACTATCGGTCGAACCCACACAAATTGGCAGTTGAAACTAACACTCCTTATATCTTATTTTAGAAAGTGGAACATTAATTATAAAACCGAAGCTAACCTGTACTAGGCCTAATATACGCCATTATAGGTCTAATTTAGTACACATATCAAGCCATATTCCTCTTTAGATAGTACGTTTTGTAACTATGTGGGCCATCATACATATATATTGACGTAATGGACAATTGGATGGTAGAATTTGGCGCTATTCACTTTATAGTTGGAAACAAATCAAGCTAAAATTCCAAAAAAATATTCCTAGGCCTAGTATAGCACACATATTTGGACTGTATTAGGACTCAGAGAGTGTGTATTAGACTTAAGATGATTAAGTTTTCTTAGCAACAAAAATACAAAACTTTTTCCGGGTTTTGAAGGAGGATGTGTTGACATATATGTGTTACGCTAGGCCTGGGAAAACTTAGTGTAACACTTATATTCGTTTGGTTGGTAAATTGTTCTCGTGCCTTCTACAAATGTAGTAGTGTAGACCATGAAGTATTCTGGTGTAACAGTTCATTATGTTTAACCAAAAGTTGATAGAAGTACTATAATTTTTGGAAGAGAGGTTGTGATACAACAGGGAGGCACAGTTGCCTAGGCACACCCTCCCCCTCCAACTTGCAATTCACGCTCCCTTTAACAGTCCAACAAGTTGGATTGGACGGTAGAGAGACGGTCTCGCTTAATGCAGGTCGGCGTTCAATCCCCCGACCGTCCAAGTGGTTGGGCACAATTCCCCTACCCCCCCAGTACCATCCCAAATCCTTATCCTGACCCCTTTCCAGTGTTATATAGCTATACAGTCAGCGCGCTTTCCCCCTGATAATTCTCTCCCTCTCCCTTTAGCACCAACGGCCGCCTGAAGATAATACATTTGAATGCAATACTAAATGATAAATGATGTAAATTATCATGAAAGTTTAGCAATAATGTTAGCAGTATTTTAGCTAGGTTAATTAATATTTAATGCTTTTGATGTGCATTTTATTTTTAGGCTATTACGTAATTGCTTTGGAGATAAATCAATGTGCTTGAGAAAATCATTAGAGAAGGACGGAGGTCGATTTTTGTTATTAACAGGCTTAAGTATCGAGCCGACGCGCGCCTTGGTTTATAAGATTGGTGTGAACTGTTACAGTAATATACTTACAGTGTTTAAAATACAAAAAACAAAAAGCATACACGTTTTGCTTATTTAAAATGAAAGTTGTGTGTGACTGAATTTGTTACATTAGTTCATCATGTAGTTAATTTGTCTATTTATTACTTCAGTAGGAAACATATATTCGTAAATTAGGCTAATTAAAGCTAAGAACATTTTATTTTGTTAGCTTTAATTACTATGAGGTGCACAATAAACTACCACTCACAGGATGAATATAGGGTTCACAATAAACTACTACTCACAGGATAAGTATGAGGTGCACAATAAACTACCACTCACAGGATGAATATAGGGTTCACAATAATCTACTACTCACAGGATAAGTATGAGGTGCACAATAAACTAACGCTCACAGAATATTTATAACATAATTGGTAACGTAATTTGCAACTAATAAAGAGTGGAGAGAGAGAGATAAGAAGTTGATTGGATCAGGTGTAAAGGGAACGGGGTACACAGCCGCTATCAGCGAGAGCTGTTGACAACTCTCAAGAACCTTATTGTGCCTGATACGACCGAGCAAGATAAGGTAGCGTAAACAATATCATCTGGGGCGGCGTCTGGCAACAACTGATCTCCGCCGGCAACAGCTGGCCCCCTCTGGGAACAGCTGGTCCCCTCTGGGAACAGCTGGTCCCCTCTGGGAACAGCTGGTCTCTGCTGGGAACAGCTGGCCCCCTCTGGGAACAGCTGGCCCCCTCTGGGAACAGCTGGTCCCCTCTGGGAACAGCTGGCCCCCTCTGGGAACAGCTGGCCCCTGCTGGGAACAGCTGGCCCCCCTCTGGGAACAGCTATTCCCCTCTGGGAACAGCTGGTCCCTGCTGAGAACAGCTGGTCCCTGCTGAGAACAGCTGGCCCCCTCTGGGAACAGGGACCAGCTGTTCCCAATATATATATATATATATATATATATATATATATATATATATATATATATATATATATATATATATATATATATATATATATATATATATATATATATATATATATATATATATATATATATATATATATATATATATATATATATATATAGAGAGAGAGAGATCGATATGACATATATATATACATCGATATGACATATATATATATATATATATATATATATATATATATATATATATATATATATATATATATATATATATATATATATATATATATACTGTAATTATTTTTAGACAGGTCCCAAAAAGGACAAATTAACGTCCTAATCGAGGAAGCGAGTATCGGAGGACAGAGTGCGCAAAAGCAGGACGTCTGGCCACCCTAGGTGCCCTGATGCCTAATATCAAACCAAATGTTACCCCTTCTGGATGTGTGAAACGAAAACACCATAATAAATGCCACCTACGCTTGCAGTACCAGCTTAAGCGGTGTTGGCAGGTACTGTAACAAGTGACAAGTGACGTAAATGTCTGATATATAATCTCCAGGGTACAACAAATATCTGCTGCCAGAAATCTTAGCCAAATGTCCCCAGTTTGCTAACTGTCGATAGTAACTGAGAGATTGTAACCTATCCACGGCTGCCCACTGCATGGATTGGGGGGGGGGTGCGGTGTGCAGAATAAACATATCAGTTTTGACACTAGCTCTCCACATATGTCAGTTGCTTAATTTAGAAAGTGTGCTTGTAGTCGGTCTCGAGGCCATTGTTGATGTGAAGATGTGCATTGAATTTTGTAACAAGCTCATCAATACTGTAACTTAGCTAAATGAATTGTGGGGTTTAGTCCCTGAGCCCATTATGTGCCTCTGTAACCCTTTCCACTACCGTCCACAGGATGGGTATGGGATGCATAATAAATGATCTAAACTAACAAGGTGCGCTTGTAGTGTTTGTGTAAGCAACCCCCCCCCCTCAGGCTGGTAGTGTCAGCAGGCAAGTTGTTAATTAACATGTGTTACCTCCCAGCCCCGCTTCTATGCCAGTTAAGTCCACTACGGGCTCACCATAGCTCGTGCTTCTTGGAACCTGTTCCGAGTGGCTGAATCTAAAACTAACGAATCTCCCAGCGCTTGGATCAAGGCTGAGAGGAGCGGACACTGATCTGTCTTGAAACACGAGCTCTCTGCGGGTATTGTAAATAGTTAACTATACTAACCTGGCTGCGTGTATCTCTCGTACGTAAGATATAATGTTAAAGTTTACATGCGTATTACAATGAGTATTATTTGTACAACCCCACTTATTATAACAGTGTTTTGGGCAAATCACATCCCAGACAGAGTAGAGGCAATAGGCACCTTCGACCAGCCTGTTTGCCTTGGTCAAGCAGATTACGCAGTGGTGCACGAGAGCTACGGGAGACAAGCTAGCGGTGATGTTAGGTGGTCCCCACATCGATATGGCAGCCCCAAGACACAGGCAAGAAAGTGGTTGGGTCTAAACACAAGTAACAGTGAAGATCGCAAAACCATAGGCAGCTGAATCGTTGTGCAGTTAACCACATGAGGCGCACAAGGCAAACTCACTAAGTCGGTTTCAATGCGTGGTTCCGAATTGAATATCCATGGTAAAATCTAATTTATTTATTTGTTAAGACTACGATATTCAATTAACCCCACATACACCACCTATTCTTTCTTGTTCAGTTCCACAAACTAACTCCATCGCCTGGAGGCCATTTTATAAGATGGCTGTTATGGCCGACATGGAGGATATTTGTAATGCAAATTACAAAATTCAAGTCTGTTCACAATATATTGGTCTATCTTTGTGCCACTTTTGGTTCTTATAATTACAAAATTCACATTAAGTTTGTTATGCCTCTCCACAACACACATAATACATGCAGGCAAAGCATATCTCAGTGATATTTAATTCAAGTTGCGCCAAGACTGATTTTTTAATTCTAAGGACATTAAACAATTTGTAATATGCTTGAATTTACACGTGATGCTTGTGAGTTCTCCATTTACAAAATAAAAAACATTACTAACACCCTTCTTCCCTCCGACCCTAAGATATCCAACAATATTGTCCAACAAATAAATATTACGATGTACCATCCAAAACGAGATTTTGCTATAAATCACAAAGTCTCGTCGTTACTAATATTTTCAGCTTCGTACTGGACCATGTGCGCTTCACCCAGAGTTCCGCGGGAGATAACGCTAAGTGGACCATGAACTGAAGATGTCAAATTCAGGCCTAGGTGTCTCTATATCAATAACTCCATCATATTATCAATTATTTAATTTCAAAAGTTAACAACATAAATAGGAAAATACATTAAAAGTTCTAACAATTATACTTTGAAAACAGTGACAGTGCTATATTAGTGTAAAATTAAACCAGGGGCCAGATTCACGAAAGCACTAACGAACGTGTACATCTTTCCTCAATCTTTGACGGCTTTGGTTACATTTATTAAACAGTTTACAAGCATGAAAACTTCACATTCAACTGTTGTTATTGTTATAAACAGCCTCCTGGTGCTTCGGAGCTCATTAACTGTTTAATAATTGGAAACAAAGCCGCCAAAGATTGAGAAAAGATGTAAACGTTCGTAAGTGCTTGCGTAAGTGCTTTCGTGAATCTGGCCCCTGAGAGCCTGGGTAAGCAATCAGCTGTATTGGTACTCACCTATGGAAAACAAGACGCGGGCGCTCATTTTGTCAGACAAAATGCCACCCAGGAATTTGCTGATCGCATAGGCGGTGTTTTGGCAGCTGTTAATGATTCCTGAAACACATTAAAGAATAATTTATAGTTAAAATTCGACATGCCAACCTACCACTGTGTTACAGGAATCGTTAGTAACGAGTAACATTGCAATGATTAGAATCCCAGTAAACACACGAGTTCAATTTGGTTACAAAGCTAATTGGTCCGTCTAACACCTAAACAATTAAGAGCACGTATAAACGGACATTGCGAATCGACCAACAAAAGAGATCGCACGATGGGACACAGCTCATTAACATACCTATAATTACACACAGAAATCACAATGGCGTGATGCATCAAATGAACAAATCCACAAGGGCCGTGACGAGGATTCGAACCTACGTCCGGGAGCATCCCAGACGCTGCCTTAATCCACTGAGCTACGACATGGTCAAAAGTGTTGAAACCGAAGTTCTACTGAACTTACTGGATCCTGCAGCCTCTCCGAGGCACAAATCAGGGTTTTACACAACTTCCCCCATGCACTCGAGCTATGTCAATAGGCCGTTCTCCCTCTTCGCCCTTACTTCACTACACCCTGGTTTGTGCCTCGGAGAGGCTGCAGGATCCATTAAGTTCAGCAGAACTTAGGTTTCAACTCTTTTGACCATGTCGTAGCTCAGTCGATTAAGGCAGCGTCTGGAATGCTGCCGGACGTAGGTTCGAATCCTCGTCACGGCCCTTGTGTATTTGTTCATTTGATGCATCACGACATTGTGATTTCTGTGTGATTTAATGTTTAGTCATTAAACTAAACCCAAGGTGTGGCTCGGGTTACACCCAACACCAGGGACTATTATATATAGCAAAATACGACACACACACACTGAGTAACTACATGACTCACCAATGGTACTTGTGGTGATGAGCCCGGAGGCGAGGAGTGTGGGGATGGCGTAGGACACACTCTTGCGATTGTAGGTGTAGCAGGCGTAGCCTAAGAACAGCGCCCCAAACACCGCTCGCTGGTAGGACTGGAGACGCTGCTCCTTGCCCATCACCACACTTCCACCACGACCACCCTGCATTCCCTCGCTCTTCTGTTGGATAGGAATGACTATATGTTATACCGTGTTTGTTGCCTGTGATCATTTGCAAGTATTCAAACTTTAGCATGTTGATCATAACATTACTGAAACTTGCTTAGTCAGAATTTTACTGGAAATCAGTTACATCGTCAGCTTTATATTATCGTTGTCTATCTGTATCCTTAAAAATTATAATGTCTGTCTCTGCCACAAACATATAAATTGTGACACTAGCTCTCCACATATGTCAGTTGCTTAATTTAGAACCTGTACTTGAGGTCGATCTCGAACCCATTGTTGATGTGATGACTTATATTGAATTTTGTAACTAGCTCATCAAGATTGTAACTTGCTTAGCTAAATGAATTGTGGGGTTCAGTCCCTGAGCCCATTATGTGCCTCTGTAACCCTTTCCACTACCGCCCACAAGATGGGTATGGGGTGCATAATAAATGAACTAAACTAAAACTGTCTCTGCTTGTCTATCTGTTCAAGGGTCGAGCCAGATGTTTGGGCCTTGGGGATAGTCTCGCCCAACTTTTCAAGAAGACACATGGATAACAACAAACTAATTTTCAATTGGCATATACAAAAAAATATATATGACAAAAGTAGATGAACTTTAGGCATCCTCTCAAAATCTTACTCATATTTCCGCATCCTAATTAAGTTAACCTGTGTTTTGCTGTTAAAGTCAACATATACATTACTATACATGCACTGTAGCTAAAGCTTCAGAGGCTAAAGTAATGTTGTCTATGCCTTTCATCATGAATTACTCACTTAAAATTGTAAATTATTTGCTATATTGCGTTTAACAGTTTATATATGTTAACTTCTCGTTTAGTATCATATGTTACCCTATTAAGCTTATATATATATATATATATATATATATATATATATATATATATATATATATATATATATATATATATATATATATATATATATATATATATATATATATATAAAGTATCTAACTTATTTTATGTCCGCAACACCTTGCGTATTAGTGACTAATATGTTGACTAATACAACATATATGTTGTATAACATATATGTTATACAACATATATGTACCTACTGAACATGTTCCGATGTATATTATATAAATATATATTATTATTAGTTTCATATTCTGAGCTTATAATGCACGTATATAATTAATAATTCGTTACAAGGGTGGGGACAGGCACCCTGTGTATGTATATACTTTAGGCTTATATCGAGGCCCCCCCCCCTTCCTGCTAAGGTCGAACAACTGACCTTTCTCAGGATGCACCTTCACAACTGTTTAATAATTACAAGATGTATATTTATTTACGGCTAAGTGAACGGAGACATTAGGTGAAAGGAAAAGTGCCCAACCATCTCTGTCCCGTACA